ACTTTAATTATTCAAAGTATTTTTCAGTACAATAAAATAATTGGTTTAGATCTCTAAAACATCATTCTCATTGTATCTTCTTTTTCTTCTTGCTTTTACTCCTGTCTTCATGTTTTCTCTTGTTAACACCTGATGGCTTTGCCTCTGCAAATAAAAAAGTCCCTCGACATAGAATAAGCATATTAATGATACACATATATTTATTATCAGTGATTAGTGCACACCAGCAAGAAAAAGATGGTAATATGAATTATTGATAACCGAACTGTGGAAACACTAGGTTCAATCTGTGCCATTATCACTAAAGATTCTACTACATCCTCTAACTTTAAATATCAAATGTGGATTACCTTTAGGCTTTGATTGGTCTTTATCTGGAGCTGCTAATGAATGTTTAATGAATCTGGCAGCCGCTCCTTTATCAAGTCTTGCAGCTAAAGATAAAAGTACATCAGTATCAGAATTGTATGCAGGTTATAATAGTCAAACTGCTCTACAAGCATTTACTTGTTCATTTACATCAAATTCGAACATGTGTTGCGTGACTACCGCTCCGGTTTAAGGCATAGATGCATGTCTATGTTGTTGCACTTGCTAAAATTTTTTAAAGTATGTTTGAAAAAAAACAAGTCTGAGGATCGGAATGAGGCACTGAAAATTACATTACCATGGTGCCCTAAAATAAATCTTTACATGGGGATTACAATGTTAACATTTGTGTAATCAGACCTTTCTAAGGTCTATGGTGTAATAACCGAATTTGAGATTCTGGGATAGATAGGGATTACAGCAATTGCAAATCTTTGTAAATGTATTGTTAGTTCTGGACTAAAGTGGCTAATACTGTAAAAAGACTAATTTTCACTGGGTTTAAGTTTCGCTGATTTTTCCATTTCAGGCATATTCAGAGGGTTTTAAATTCACGGTTTTATCATTTAGATAATGTGTTCTATGCTAAATTTTACATATTCACTGGGTTTTAATTGAGCGCATTATTAACTCAGCGAAATAAACTAAATTAAAACCCAGTGAATAATTAACCCTTTTACAGTAGATCCTTTGTACAAGTCAAGCGCCCTCTTGTGTTGAATAATATAATGTAGGCAGTGTCCTCAAATTTGCAGTTTTAATAAACTTCAGTTCAAAATAATGTGTTGAATAAAATTTAATGTTTGTCATGCCTCTTATTTAAATTCACATTGCAGGGGTTGTCAAACAATGATGATCTATCTGTGAATTACACTTGCCAATCTACAATGTACATGTACATCATAAAATTAAAAGAACTCCCCTCGCAGGGGGGGAGGGGTAGTTCATCAGTTTATTAGTGTAAAACGTCCATATCCCCATGTCTCAGATATGCGAAAGGCGCTTACTCACTGTGACAAAATGCAATGAGACATGTAATTGGCGAATCAAACAGTAGCATCAATGTGAATGGCAAGCAGAGTTAAAGCGTAGGTCAGAATAACTGGCATGTCAAAAAAGACGCCAACATTAAGAGTAAGCTAGGCCTAATCCAAGTTATCACACTTTAAACAAACAAGATGGCCGTCAGTTGTCAATTTGCAATGATCAAATATTGCCATGTACATGTATCCATTTATGACATGCTAAATATAAATGAAAATGATACATGGGTGACAGAGATATAATAATATGGTCAAAAATAAAAACAGCCGTTATTCGGCCATCTTTGATCTGATTATGAAACACACTGACATGTATGTGCCAAATATGAATGAAAATGGTATATAAATCTTGGAAATATAGTAAGGCCAAAAAGTCAGATAGCTGTCAATCGGCCATCCTTGATCCGATTTTGAAACAAATTGTCATGGACATGTATCCTTACATAAAATGTGTGCCAAATTTGAATGGAAACTGACAAAGCCTGTCCAAGATACCACATTTAAAAAAACAAACACGTTGCCTACCAGTCAGCCATCTTTAATCCAATTGCGAAAGAAATTGTACCAAGTTTGAATGTTTGAATATACGAAATTTAGAAAATACAAGCTGGCTGCCAGTCGAATCACCAAACGACTGCATATGTCCCACATAAAGTACTAGGTACATGCAAAGAATGAACGGAATCAGTCTGACGGATTCTGAATATATGACTCCAGACGGATGGAGACCAAATTTTAAGTCCCCGTTTTTGGACTAAAAAGCAGGTGCCAAGTTTTATGTCATACTCCATAACATTATGCAAAATGTATGGTGCATGTGCCCATAATTTTATATTGTTCTTTCATCTTTGGAATTCAAAACAGATTTTATATTCTATTTGTTCAATCAATACTTAGTAAAAATCTGCACCTCCTTTTGATACTGCTCACTTCTTTTTTAAAATTGTAAAATTATATTTTAAATTGAAACAGTGTACAGTGACTACCCAACGTATTCAGCACTTGTCTTTATATGACAATTGATACATACCGGTAAATATTATTTCATGGCCTAGAATAGGTATGTATTCTTTATATACAGGTAACTTTATGTGTAAATTGCATTAGGATTGCTCAAAGGTGATCACTAACAAAGGTTTGACTGCAATTGGTTAGTGTTCCGTCACAAACTTACCTTTTTTCTTGTCAGTAATATCTTTGATTCTGTTCATATAATTACGAATTCTGTCCTACAAACAAAGCAGTTTGTGAATGCATCTTTTATAACATGCATGTGGTTTCTATAACAAACTTTACGATAATAGAACAGCTTTTATTTTTCAATATTTTTTTCTCAATTATATTTAAACTTTCATTTTTTTTTCTTAATTATAAGGACTGTGGTATATAGTTGCTCTTATCACTTGCTGACATCATTATATATTATTCATAATGACTATCTATGGGGGCTTACAGTAGGCATTGATGTGTTGACTGTCGTTTATACAATGGAGTTGAAAATTAATGAACTTTTACCACAATGCCACATTCACCACAATTAATTTAACAAGTCATTGCAAACTAAACTCAATAAAAGTGAGATCACTGGAAAAAAATCTTAATAACTTGAGAAATAAATGGTTTCAGTCAATTTACTGAATATCTGCATCAGTCAATAACACTTACTAATTCTTGCTTTATTGGATGTTCTCTTGGATTCACTCCCTGCATTGTTAAATAGACTGCAATGAACAGTATTCACATATTACATCTCACGGTACTTTCAACCAATCAGATTTATGCATTTGCCACTTAGCCTTTAGTTTGCGTAGATGTTATGAAACTGATAATCACCAAATAACATACATTCTCCATTCTGTGCATAGTCACAACACTGTGTATGTGGTTAGCACTAAAACTGGAATTTTGCATGGCATCTGAGGACTTAATGTGTGCAAAAATGGCAACAAAGAACTTTTCACACCGTGCGAACATTTGCATTAAGTTACAGGTACATGTATGAGCTAACGCATCTGGACTGAAGTAAACAAAGAAAGCATTTAAATGTGATATTTACAAACAGATAAATTATATTGTTTACGATGTCAGATGTCTAAAAATATTTTGCCTTTTTTTCTAAGTACAAATGCAACTGCGTATGATAGACAGTTTCAGACCACCCATTTTTTTTATACCATCACTAAAATGTATATTACAATGCTGCTCAAAATTTTAAATCAGGGATATATTTATGCCATTCCTGACTGATAATAATCTACAACAAACACATGCACAGTATTGTATAGACTTACTCCAAAACATAGCGTTCATTGCATAGGCAGCTACAAGATCAATCTTGGCTTTGTCTAACGGATCACACACCTGCGTCAACAATAATTAATAAACAACTTAATTTATGCATTACCAGCAAATATCATCATCAAGAGTATTTGTTATGGGATTATTAATGAATCTCTCAACAGCGTCATACTGGACGAGAATGGTATATGACAAGATAGAATGTTTTAAGTCACCACCATTATTAAAGACCGGTCTACGTCACGATTCCCAATGGCCAATAACAGTCATGGTTTTCGTCTTCAAGAATATCAAGAATTTAAATAAGTTTAGTTGAAATAAATTTACTTGCGAACAGAGGTCTACATTATGGTGTGATAATGTGAAACTATGACGTAATAAAAACATATAATTGTGATAGTAGTGATATATAACACTTGGAAGGACTTATTCCTTGGCGTCATTTGATATATGGAACATGTGGTCATAAAACATATCAACAACATGCAAGTAAACGTCCTACAGTACTCGACATCGCCTGTCGGCTTTGTTTATGGACTTACGACTTCTTGGATTTCACTGTGTGGTGTTTCCAACAATGGCTTTAAAGCTTTGTCTGCGTTGTTAAAAGCTTCATCATAGTCAGCTAAAACGGTTCTCATTTCGGACGGAACATCATCAGCCATGGCAGCCATTTGTATTTTCCGGGATAACTCGCCAGTGATGGCGCTCTTATGTAGACTCGACTTACTCCCGTGTTCGCAAGCACAATAGTCTGTAACAGTCACCAGAAACGTGTGTATGATTGTAATGTTCCTCCAGCGCCTGGGGTGGTGTATGGTAGAATAGCTTGACAAATAAAGATTTAATTGGGATATATGTAGCAAATTATTCAAAATGCCGGTGAAGCAAATAACATGATATTGAAAAAAGTATCCTCGAATATAATAAAAAACGGTTCATACGGTCAGATCCCAGAATAGATAAATCGATTCACTGTCGTTTCTTCCCAAAATATGTTTTGTCCAAGCGCCGTTTTCTGGCAATACTTTCAACCTTACGTATTATAACAAAAATCTATTACACAGAGCTACAACGAGTTATCGAAATCATGTTACATCCAAGTATCATACTGCACCAACTCTTTCTGATACATTGACAGCCCATTGACAACATATGTTTACCGGTAAATTATATACCGTTGCATTTACACTCAAATAATAGTGTAAATTATTTACTCAAATTAAAAGCAGCTAAAATAAACACGAAGCGTAAATGGTATAAAGTTGTACAATCAGAAGTAACGCAAATTAATTCATTACACCAATACAAAATCTCAAATACGCAATTAAAAATATTAAATGAAATCATTGAAAATCATTTATAAAATAAACAGGGATCCTGAAATGTATAAAGAAAACAAAAATGGTGGACAAATAAATGCCCACAATAAACAAATTCCCACAGAACATTTAATGATAGAAACACTTAAATTGGAAGATTATTTATTCATTTGTTTACATTTACCGATATAAAGCACTTCAAAAAGTTATTAAATGTCAGTTTAAAAGGTAGAACACAAGCGTTCACACAAAACATAATTCAACATCATAAAAAACGTTCATAAATTCTCCAATATGGAGCATGCACACAAACCAACCATTTGTTCCAAACTTTTGAAAAAGTTCATCGTCATTGACTCCGGCATGGCTATATCGAGAGTTTTCGTTATACTGTTTTTCCTCTTTTTTTTTTTTTTTTGGCATAATATACAAATAAATTATTGTTCTTCTCATGGTTTCTGTGTATCGTGGCTTCTTGCGGCGTTAGTTTGGTCTTTACCATTGCGTCAATTCACATGAAAGTGTTTGTTTTGTGCTTCCCGTGGATCTACTTTTGTGCCAAGCGTTTTTGATGTTGTACGGTCCTATTCGATATTCATCCTTATTTTTCGGAGTCTCCATCTTGTCAACGTCGTGTCATCGGTGTTATTTGGGTAAATCTGTAAATACGCGGTTTCGTCTCTGTTCCGGATGTCATCGATGTAATTTGGGTTTCCACAATATGCTGTGAAAAGAACGTCGGTGATATTGGGGGCTCGTGATAGATACCGGGATCGATGCAATGTAAACAACTATTCAAATCTCGGTTAAGTAAACACTGTCTAAAACTATAGACTGGACGACACGTGTCTGTGACAATGTCTTCTGTTTGGAGAAACAACCCGAAATATTATGAATGTTGCCAGTATGCTTGATAATAAAACTATCGTGACAATTTTGATGAGCACAAACTGTTTAGCTATTCCAGTAGCCAAATTTATACAGAATAGCTACAGTGCCACCAATTCACAAGTGATTTTTTTCTTCTCAGGCTGATATAGTATTATTCTGTAATTGCTTTTAATCATTTAACTTTTAATTTACAATTTGCGTAATTTTAATTTTTTTTCGACCTTAGGACACACCGACTTAATTTTATGGATGACATCCGCGCGCGCATTAGTTTTCGCCTGTTTTTTATTGAAGACTATTATTAATTATCTGCGACACCTTTTACGTTTTACTTGTATGTGCGTACCACCACAACGCAAATAACAATTTTACCTTAATACTGAATATTTACGTCAAGATCAAACAAATCGTAATACAGGAAGTGGTCAGTTCGAGAAAGAGTATTGCGCCCTCAAGCATCGCCCTCAAGAAGTCCCGACTTTGCCAGTCTACATGTAAGCATAATATGAGGGACTTTTTAATCTCGGGTGATACACATAACAAATGGCATTTGGTTCGCTGACATCGAATACTTTAAATTAGTATTTACTGGCTTTATACTGTAGATAAATATTGATATAGTGTATTAGCCAATTACCGAGAAGTTACTTTTATCCCTTCAAGTGTTTACACTTTCCCTGGTATTTCAATCCACAACGCACTAGTTTCTTTTTTATCCATTTGTGAACCTGGTACAGTCGGGACATAAGATGACCATGTAGTTAAACTATGTTTTGATATCAACAGTACACTCGACAATGGCTTAATTATTAAAAACGAATGAATAAACCTTTGGATGATTTTCTTGTGTAACCATTAGAGTGTACATTTTTCCATAAGATGGATATCTGTTGTATATTGCACACTCATTTGTTATAATACTGCTACTCGGAGATTTTGTTTTCCTTTCTGAGGACGATCACATTTTCAATCTAGTTAACGCCCTCTTCCTCAACCAGTCCGACTCTGACAACTAACGTTGTGCTTTTTTATTTAAACTACAAGTTCACACAGATGCAGAGTTTGTGACCTAAATACTGTTCCAGTGGAATTAAATATATCAAGTGACAACAACCACTGGAATAATTCGTACAGTATAGATTACAATGGGTGGGAAATCCAATCATATATAATCTTCAGGACTGTGATTTACTTTGAACAAAAGTATTAAACCAGCATATTACAATATAGAGGGTTGGCAAGGGGTATTTTCGTAAGCTGTAATCAATTGTTTTTATTTTTGTAACAATGTAATTTAAATAAATAAAAAAAACGTAATTCGTAACCATGGGCAAGGTGTAAAATGTAATCAGCTATTTTATTTGTCTGTAATTTGTATAAATATATTATTTTTTGTAAGCGTATAAAGCATTTTCCAAATTAAATGTTGTAATTCGACCACAATTTCCAATTTTGATTCTTAAATACAAATTATCAAAAATATTATAAAAATGTAAAATGTAATTAGGAATTTGCTTTATCTGTAAAGTGTAAAAAACTAATTTTTACTCTAAATGAAACTTTCATTTTATTTCCTGTAAAAACATAACATGCTGTTTTTATTTTCTGTAACCTGTACCAGCTACTCCCCCTTGCCCCTCCTCAATATAGCTCAATGTTTTGCTAACTCATATGTAACAGTTTGTTATGCTAAGCTGATATCGATATTGCTACTAAGTAAGCTATATTGCAATATTGTTGGTTGACTTGCTTTCTCATTTACAGCAACACCAGTATATAATGGATGTGTTCATACTAGTTTAGTCACCTCACCTTTTATACATGCATCATCTGATTGAGTATTAAATAAATCTGCTAGGAGGAAAACCTAAGAGGGAACTCTGTATTGAAAGTGTTACATAAATCTGACTATATTTGAAAGATGATAAGGACCTGATGAGATAAGTCATATATATATTATATATCTTTTCTTTTATTAATAAACAAACTAAACAAATTGCAGGATTGCTTTGTGCAGAACATGAACTTATAGATGATCTCATTTTATAAGTACAAGGTATGCAGTACATTATGAGGTTAAATGAGTTATGCTATTCTTTATTGCATGCATTGAACTGGTACATTAATTTGTAGACCTAATGCATACTATTCTTTCAGAAAATAATTTAGTAAAGTTACTTTTGTCACTGGACTTTAAAAAAAAATGTTTTTCTTCAGACCTAACTTACGACCCATATACTTGAGAAGAGTATATAGAGTATCCCCCCCCCCGTAGGATTTGTTTTTCTGTAAAACACAATGCCTCTTGGCAAAGTTCAGAGTACATATACATTACAGTATACACAATGACATTAAAATGTAACTGCTTCCATCATAATGATTTTACTGTCAATAATATCCTTCAGCCATTTCTCTCGAAATCTGGAGTTTCCTGGTTTGTGTACAAGTCTATTGCCTTCAAAAACATAATAAACATCAACCGGAAAATGCTATGGAGAAAAAACATAAAATAAATGGATTTGAATCAGTAATTAGCTAAGAAATATCACAAAATGGTATATATAGGTATTTACATGTAAATATTATTTTTGAGTATACCAAAAAATGACAATCATTAATAAAAACAAATGCACATATGACCAATACTGCTGCTATATAGTCAGCCATTTTCAATATAAAATAAATGAAATATATATAAATGTCTGTCTCATTTAAAATGTTTTAGGGAATGCATGTCCCCCAAAAAAGTAGAGCAGATAAATGATCTACTCCAGTTCTTGTTGCCGATTTTATTGAATTGCGAATAAAATTATAAAGCGAATAATGAATATGTGAGGAAAAAATGTTAAATTTAAATGAATACAGTATATTGTATTCATTTAAATTAAACATAATCTGAAATATTAATTATCATTTTGAAAATAAAGATTATACTGTACATCTTCTCTGTAACAAATACTTACACCGGGTTTAATTTTAGAAACTTCTATTGTGAAATAAACACAAGCTGTAGCTCTTGGGATTGGTTTCCTTCGTGTTGGAATACTCCACCTGACTTGATAACGATATATTTTACTGTATTTATCATCTTCTTCTCTAAGAAAATCTATACAATATAACCATGCACCTTGATATTCCCATGTTTGCTGTGTATAAAATACATATACCAATGACTTAATACATCAGAGCATTAATCAACCATTTCAATATACAGTTTTCTTCAAGTATATTCTAGTAAAAGATTATTGATATTATAATTAAATGTAAATGCTTTAAATTATTGGATGCTAAATGTGTGAAGGAGTAATGTATTAGTAAAAACAATGCACAGGAAATTGACAACTTATGACAAATATCCTATCAACTAAAATTGCCATTGTAATGTATTATGAATATAATGGTCAAAATATTCTCTTGTTGAAAACTCAATAAATTAAAAGGCTATTTTTAGGAAACTTGAATAATATATGAATAAGATTCATATAAATAACAATGTTTAGTTTCTCAAGCTATTAGGCCAAGTAAAATATATACATATAATGGAATACTTATATAGAGAAATCAAATGCAAAAACAAAAAATAATAAAATAAAATTTAAAAAAAAATTATTATTGGTTGCCAAATTTCTATTCTATAATTACAATGTTCACCTGATGAAAATAGCATAGAGCCATGACTAATTTGCATAACTATGCATATTGTGTTCATTGTTATGCCATGCTCAATTATTTATTTGTTCATCTAAACCAAGATAAATTTATCATAATATTGTACATACTAGTATTGAATATAATTGATATGTGTCTGCATTAGATCATTTCCAAGTGTCTGTGTCATTATAGTTAATAACAAAGATATTTTAGTAACCATGGTCTATTTTGGTTGAGTATATATCAACAAATTGTTAGTAACTG